GTCACCCAGTCTCAGTCACATGGCTGAATATTTTTACCATGAGACAACTGGAGAACAGCAAGGATATGCTTATAGGAAACTGCTTTGAGATTCTGATTGTATTCCTGAAGGGCACATGCATGCACTCTCAAAAGAAATTCATGGGATCTATTACTGCAACAAAGATTCTAATTCTAATTTTTTGAGTACTACCTTTCATGCAGTGTGTAATATGGCTGTCTGGGAATGTAAAAGGTCTGCAAAGTTTTAAAGATCAAAGTCTACAACAAATAAAGTTATTGTCTCCTAAAAGAAAGAATCGATTCTGAACTGCTGAAATTAGTCATTATAGACTCAATTCCTGTTTCATACCTACATAACAATGTAACACATTTGCATAATGCCAGCATATGGTCTTCATTGTCATTCTGCAAACAAAGTCTACTTTCACTACTTTCCACTGTAGTTGTAGCTGAGGTTAGTGTTGTCAACATGTCGAGAAGATGCTGTTTTCTACGCTGTGAATACGGTAAAACTGGCGTCATTGTTTATATCACTGTGTATCCAGTGCTGAGGAAGCCTCCAGAAAAATTCAGATGGCTATGGATGTTTGGTTTGACACAACAATAGTGTAAGCGGTCGACCAATCACAAGAGACTGAGCCATCTGACTAATCAGAGGAGAGTAGACCAATCACAACAGACTGGGCCATCTGACCAATCAGAGCTGAGTAGACCAATCACAACAGACTGGGCCATCTGACCAATCAGAGCTGAGTTGACCAATCACAACACACTGAGCCATCTGACCAATCAGAGCAGAGTAGACCAATCACAACAGACTGAGCCATCTGACCAATCAGAGCATAGTAGACCAATCACAACAGACTGGGCCATCTGACCAATCAGAGCAGAGTTGACCAATCACAACACACTGAGCCATCTGACCAATCAGAGCAGAGTTGACCAATCACAACAGACTGGGCCATCTGACCAATCAGAGCGGAGTAGACCAATCACAACACACTGAGCCATCTGACCAATCAGAGCAGAGTTGACCAATCACAACACACTGAGCCATCTGACCAATCAGAGCAGAGTTGACCAATCACAACAGAATGGGCCATCTGACCAATCAGAGCAGAGTTGACCAATCACAACAGACTGGGCCATCTGACCAATTAGAGCAGAGTAGACCAATCACAACAGAATGGGCCATCTGACCAATCAGAGCAGAGTTGACCAATCACAACAGAATGGGCCATCTGACCAATCAGAGCAGAGTTGACCAATCACAACAGACTGGGCCATCTGACCAATTAGAGCAGAGTTGACCAATCACAACAGACTGGGCCATCTGACCAATCAGAGCGGAGTAGACCAATCACAACAGAATGGGCCATCTGACCAATCAGAGCAGAGTTGACCAATCACAACAGACTGGGCCATCTGACCAATTAGAGCAGAGTTGACCAATCACAACAGAATGGGCCATCTGACCAATCAGAGCAGAGTTGACCAATCACAACAGACTGGGCCATCTGACCAATTAGAGCAGAGTTGACCAATCACAACAGACTGGGCCATCTGACCAATCAGAGCGGAGTAGACCAATCACAACAGAATGGGCCATCTGACCAATCAGAGCAGAGTTGACCAATCACAACAGACTGGGCCATCTGACCAATCAGAGCAGAGTTGACCAATCACAACAGAATGGGCCATCTGACCAATCAGAGCAGAGTTGACCAATCACAACAGACTGGGCCATCTGACCAATCAGAGCGGAGTAGACCAATCACAACAGAATGGGCCATCTGACCAATCAGAGCAGAGTTGACCAATCACAACAGACTGGGCCATCTGACCAATCAGAGCAGAGTTGACCAATCACAACAGAATGGGCCATCTGACCAATCAGAGCAGAGTTGACCAATCACAACAGACTGGGCCATCTGACCAATTAGAGCAGAGTTGACCAATCACAACAGAATGGGCCATCTGACCAATCAGAGCAGAGTTGACCAATCACAACAGACTGGGCCATCTGACCAATTAGAGCAGAGTTGACCAATCACAACAGACTGGGCCATCTGACCAATCAGAGCGGAGTAGACCAATCACAACAGAATGGGCCATCTGACCAATCAGAGCAGAGTTGACCAATCACAACAGACTGGGCCATCTGACCAATTAGAGCAGAGTTGACCAATCACAACAGAATGGGCCATCTGACCAATCAGAGCAGAGTTGACCAATCACAACAGACTGGGCCATCTGACCAATTAGAGCAGAGTTGACCAATCACAACAGACTGGGCCATCTGACCAATCAGAGCGGAGTAGACCAATCACAACAGAATGGGCCATCTGACCAATCAGAGCAGAGTTGACCAATCACAACAGACTGGGCCATCTGACCAATTAGAGCAGAGTTGACCAATCACAACAGAATGGGCCATCTGACCAATCAGAGCAGAGTTGACCAATCACAACAGACTGGGCCATCTGACCAATTAGAGCAGAGTTGACCAATCACAACAGAATGGGCCATCTGACCAATCAGAGCAGAGTTGACCAATCACAACAGACTGGGCCATCTGACCAATCAGAGCAGAGAGACTGAATCCTCAAACAAACCGTTTTCAGACTCTTTGAGCAATTAGGTGATGTACAATGCATGTTATGAGAAAAACTTTTTTTTTTTTTGCATCTTGGATGTGTCTAAACCTATTGTAGAAGATGTCCAAAATAAAATTAGGAACCTTTAAAATTGCATAATAGGGGCACTCACTATTTTAATGAGTTCAGTTGACATAATGTTAATTCTTACATCAGTGTTGTTCATTAATCTGGGTTAGGGGGAAAAGTAGTAACAATATTATTGTCTTGATAACTTTGAAAATTGAACAGTGATATTTAGTATTTTTTAGTAAATGAAAAATACCAGTTGGTGTTTAAATTTGTTACAACTGACATTTAACGGTTATTTTGTGTGTTTACCATTGTGCTGAAGAGTATTTACTTTTTTAAGTAAAGCCAACCATATTCTTTATAGTGAGAGATTGTGTTGAGGTTTACATGAAGTTTTTTTTACACTGACCACACGAGCAATGATTACACTAATGCCAGTGACAAATAATATCTTGTTGTTTAAATGTGTATGCTAAATACATTAGAATGTGCTATGTGTGCTGTTAATTTGATCTAACATAGATAAGATTAATTGGTTCCACTCCATTATGTTGACATTTTGTTTTCTAATAATACATCAATCACATCAATGAAAACTACAGCAGATTGTATAAGTGCTTCTTGATTCGGCTGCTGTAAATTCACAGTCCACACAAACAATGCACTTCCCAAATCCCCAGTGTGAAGACAGGCTAAAGATTAACCAGCCTCTCCCTGTGGAAGTATGCGAGTATGCCGAGTGATAAATCTCCCTGATCCACAGGTCACATCACACTGTCCACTTACAAATCTGCAGCATCACTGCTTTGCACTGCAGAAAGAGGAACAAGGACAACAGACAACACAAAAAAATACATATCAGAGAATATAACTTCCTGTTTGAGGCTCATGTGGTAGAAACACTTACACTGCAGCTGCCTAACAACACATTTAACACAACTGCGTAAAGGACTAGTTCACTTTAAAAAAAAAAATGCTGATAATTTACCCCATGTCACCCAAGATGTCCATGTCCTTCTTTCTTCAGTCGAAAAGAAATTAAGGTTTTTGATGAAAACATTCCAGGATTTCTCTCCATATAATGGACTTCAATGGGAACCAAATGGTTCAAGGTCCAAATGAGAGTTTCAGTGCAGCTTCAAACGACACCAGACGATGAATAAGGGTCTTATCTAGGACCCTTCGAGTCATGACTAGAAAAAAGATTTGTTCATTTTGATGAACGAATTCGAACAGGAGAGTCACGAACGCTCATCACAGAACAGAGCAAAGCGAGCATTTGTGCTTAAAAAACTATTAAATGACCGATCGTTTTGCTTGATAAGACCCTTATTCATCGTCTGGTGTCGTTTAAAGCCCTTTGAAGCTGCACTGAAACTCTCATTTGGACCTTGAACCGTTTGGTTCCCATTGAAGTCCATTATATGGAGAAAATCCTGAAATGTTTTCATCAAAAATCTTCATTTCTTTTTGACTGAAGAAAGAAAGACATGGACATTTTGGATGACATGGGGGTGAGTAAATTATCAGCAAAAGTTTTTTTTAAAAGTGAACTACTCCTTAAATGTGTTTGGCAACTTAAGGTCAATGTGCAATTAGTCCTTGTATTTTGATTTATGATAATGAGGCAGAGTAATATCATTTTAAAATGTTTTTCTTTTTTTGGTCCCGTTATCTTACATACACCGTCAGACTTTGTTTTGCCTGCGTCAAGAGCTCCTGTGCCTGCGTTTCACTAACACTAACTGATAGCGGCTCACTGATAGCAGGAAAATCTGAAGTGGACTCAAATGTATAGACAAAACACAAAGCTTAGTGGTCATAAAGTTGAAAATTAAAATTCTGTCATCATTTACTTACTTATGTCGTTCCAAACTTGTATGATCTGTGGAACACAAAAGATATTTTGAATAATCTTAGTATCCCAACCACATTTGTCATCATTTACTTGGTAATTGTAACTATGGTTACAAGAGGTACAAACCGCTCATTTCGTGTCTTATGCCATCAATGTGTACTTACATTTACGAGTCATTAAATCATGTTTAATTTGGACTTCTCTGTGCATGCTCTTTGAGGTGGTGACCATAGACCTCCATTATATGACTGACAGACAAGAACGGTTTGACCTAAAAATATCAAAATTGAAAATACTGCGAAAACAAACACACCTACATCTTGGATGCCCTTGAGGTAAGCTAAAACATACCAAAAATTCATTTCAAAGTGAACTATCCCTTTACGTGCCAAAAGCTAATCGAATCAAAAGGGCTTTGACATTTGAAAAGCATCAACTTTGATTATTTATAAATTAAGTACTCACTCAAAGTTCTCATTTAATAGGAAATTTATTTTCACATGTCAGCAAAAACATTGTAGTGTTTAACACAGCTACACCTGAAAAGCATAAAACTAATCCAATGCTGTCGGCACAGTAATCTGCTTAAAATGGTGGAAAACCAGCAAAATTCCCAAATAAAGGAACTTCCTAAATGTTTTATACAATGTGCATATGACATAAACGTATAGGCCATCTACAAATGTATGACAAATGACCACAATATTTCCTTCAGTGAAAAATACATCTATCTGTGAGATAAAATAAATGCTTTGAGGGGAAAAAAAGGACAAAAGAGTATAAAGAGATTTTTTACCTCAGAAAAAATAGTTTAAGTAAATGCTTTTATTACAACAAAATATATCACAAAAGCATTATTAGAATTGCACCAACTCTGTTATAACAGAGTTTCAAAAGCACATCGGGTAAGTGTTCTATATTATGTCATGAGAATCCTTTGACAAACAAGCTCTCTATACAAAATGTACATTTTACATATATAAATTTGGCATTCAGTCTTAAAAAGTGATGTTTTACATATATATCTATGTATAATTTCATTTTTATAATCACCTTGCCCTCCTAACCATAGTTCCAGACTGATATTGTTCTTTTAAACCAAAGATGGTTTAAAACTTCCCAGCAAGACACTCTGTATCACATAACAGATCATCGATTCTGGTCCTAGGATGCCGACATTGATTCAGCACAGACAAAACTCAACTACAGCAAGTTTTACATGTAAACCCACAATCGAAGTCCATCGTCTCTGTGGATGTCAGGAAAAGGCAGCTGTTTGGTCTATTTTATTCCATTTGTTAAAACCCTTACAGTCTCTTCGTATTGATCTCTGTCCTCAAATGAGCTTTAAAGCATTTCATCAGGTTTATGAATGCTCATTCCAGTATATACTTGTCTATCAGCATAATCTAAGCTTCTGTTTAAAGGCAGGCCTGCTGCACCTGTGTCAGAAGCTCCCCGAAGCGATCGAACAGACCCTCAACCCATGTCCTGTTGCCCATGCAAGTCTGGACCGTCTCCTCCTGCCCCAGGTCTTTACCTCGCGACTTCAACAACTGAATCTGGATAATGGAGAGAATCACAGTGCAGCAGTTTTGTAAACGCATTTATAGAGAAAACAAAAGGTGCCCCGAGTGGTTGTTGGATTGCAGCAGCCAGATTCGAACCTGAATCTCCCATATGAGCACCAAAGCTCAACATGGAGCACAATGTTCCCAAACTTTTTTTGTCAGCTGAACCCCTTAGACATAAATATTGAAATAATTTAATGACACATTCGCATGTTCATGGTTCAGTGATGTTGGTTAAAGGGATAGTTCACCCAAAAATAGAAATTCTGTCTTTAATTACGCACCCTCATGTCGTTACAAACCCAGAGGACTTTTGTTAATCTTCGAAACACAAATGAAGATCTCTTTGATGAAATTGGAGTTCAAAAAGTTCATAAAGAGATTGTAAAACTAATTCATATGAACTTTTCTGAAGAGACTCGATAATTTTATATGAGAACAAACCTCATTGGTTCTTGCTGAAGCTCAAACATGATGCGTAACATGAGAATGAACCTCATTGGTTCTTGCAGAAGCTCAAATGTAATGCGTAACATGAGAATGAACCTCATTGGTTCTTGCAGAAGCTCAAACGTGATGCGTAACATGAGAATGAACCTCATTGGTTCTTGCAGAAGCTCAAATGTGATGCGTAACATGAGAATGAACCTCATTGGTTCTTGCAGAAGCTCAAACGTGATGCGTAACATGAGAATGAACCTCATTGGTTCTTGCAGAAGCTCAAATGTGATGCGTCACATGAGAATGAACCTCATTGGTTCTTGCAGAAGCTCAAATGTGATGCGTCACACAAGAATGAACCTTATTGGTTCTTGCAGAAGCTCAAACGTGATGCGTAACACGAGAATGAACCTCATTGGTTCTTGCAGAAGCTCAAACGTGATGCGAAACACGAGAACGAACCTCATTGGTTCTTGCAGATGCTCAAACGTGATGCGTAACACGAGAACGAACCTCATTGGTTCTTGCAGAAGCTCAAATGTGATGCGTAACATGAGAATGAACCTCATTGGTTCTTGCAGAAGCTCAAACGTGATGCGTAACACGAGAATGAACCTTATTGGTTCTTGCAGAAGCTCAAACGTGATGCGTCACACGAGAATGAACCTCATTGGTTCTTGCTGAAGCTCAAACATGATGCGTAACATGAGAATGAACCTCATTGGTTCTTGCTGAAGCTCAAACATGATGCGTAACATGAGAATGAACCTCATTGGTTCTTGCAGAAGCTCAAACGTGATGCGTCACACAAGAATGAACCTCATTGGTTCTTGCAGAAGCTCAAACGTGATGCGTCACACGAGAATGAACCTCATTGGTTCTTGCTGAAGCTCAAACGTGATGCGTCACACAAGAATGAACCTCATTGGTTCTTGCTGAAGCTCAAACATGATGCGTAACATGAGAATGAACCTCATTGGTTCTTGCAGAAGCTCAAACGTGATGCGTCACACAAGAATGAACCTCATTGGTTCTACGTGATGCGTAACACGAGAATGAACCTCATTGGTTCTACGTGATGCGTAACACGAGAATGAACCTCATTGGTTCTCGCACGTCAAACGAACATGCTTGAGCTTGAATGTTGAATGAGATGAATGTTTATATGTGAATAAAAGTTTAAATTCAATCGTAGCTGTCAATGGAGCGACAGAAAACTCAGATTTCATCAAAATATCTTCATTTCAAAAAGTCTTAAGAGTTTTGAACGACATGAGGGAGAGTAATTAATGACAATTTTTGGGAGAACAAACCCTTTAACAGTCATACGACATGCAAGTAAACAGATAAAATATTGATTATTTTGATTTTGATTAATTTAATTTTAAATTAATTTATATACAGGGTGGCAAATATAGGGCTTGTTTAAATATATTACTGTTGTAAACAACAATTGTCCTATAAAATAAATGTAATTTTTTATATTATTTTACACTGCAAGTTACAATATTAACATTTATGCTTTGAAGTCGGCATGAAACTGAAGTTGCGATAGTCTTTTTTCATTTATTGTGGTGTAAATCCGAGTGAATATTATTTCTAAACAGAATAAAAGTAGAGTGGGTCTTGATTTTGTTCATGGGGAATTGATTGGATGGTTGAGATTTGCTATTGGTTTTCCCCACTCTCACTAAATCAGTGAAGAGAATAGATGACACTACAAGGGGAAGTTATTTTGATTAAAGATTATGAGGGCATATGAATATTTGCAAAAAAATGACATGCACAGACTTTAACTTTCAACTGTTAAAAAAATAGTCAATTTGGTGGACTACAGGTAAAATGATGTAAATCTATCCCAAAATGTTGGAAACTGTGTGAATGTGCAAATAAAGTGAACCTAGTGCACACTGTTTTCACATTAAACTGGTTGGAGATGGAGTTTACTGAGGAAGCAACAGACTTTAAAGATTATTTATATCGCAGCCTTTGATTTGATAATTGCACCAAGCTATATCACAATTTTAATTTTATTTTCAATGAATTCTGCAGCCAATTTTTTTTGGTTTGCATTTTACCTTAGATTTAATTAGTCATCAACCCATTTGGAAAACCCTGCACTAGGCCAACGTTCAGGTGTTATATTGCATAAGCAAACAGAGTGAGGTGGAGTATTTTACCAGAGGATAAAACAAAACACGATTCCCTCAAGAGCTTGTCAGCAAGGACTAGTTGATTGGTAATCCTTCCGAAAACTCACACACAAACACATTGATTCCTCACCTCCTCCATACACATCAGGTATGTGTGGTACTTGTAGTGTTGTAGAGAGTGATATAAGGAAAACCACTTCGTCTTCTGCTGATCCACTGTGTATTCCTGATCGAGACAGAGAAATAAAGACTTTAACCGTGCATCCAAAGTGATCTAAAAGCCAGTATGGTATACCTCCTAGTGGTCAAAAAGTTCAGGACATTAGCAACACTAGACTCCTAGACCTGGAATACTCACCAAGGGAAGTTTGCTGGGGGATTTCGAGGGCTTCATGGTTTTCCTGTTGTAAGCCCTCCCACTTAACCTTACTTTAAAAACGGGAGTCTCGCAGTCTGTTTTCAGCTCGGTGACCACAGACAGCTCAGGAAAGCTGTCTAATGCATTCTGTCAGAGAAAAAACACATATCCTAATGTATTATGCAAATACATTGACTATGTTTACATGCACAGAGTACTATTACATTAGTACTATTTTCTTTAATTTAATCTGACATTCTCACTATATACATATATGCATCAAATGTTTTCTGAACAAAATGTCTGTGCTATTGAGAAGAGCAGCACTTTCTTTCACCAGCTTACTCAAATCGGCATACTTTGTCAAGTCGGATATGTAGGGATGTTTAATAGTTGCTGGGTTGTCTAATAACTAATCAAATAGTCGCTTTAAAACTAAGGCCATGTCGTTTGGCTAGTTTAGGGTCATGCTTACCAGATGCATCCCATCTGAAAAAAAATAAAATATTAAAGGAAAGCGTTCTTCTCATGTTGCTAACGTCACTTTCGAAGTCAGCATTTATTGAAAATTCTAGATTGTAAATTGATGTTATAAGAAAGTGATATTTGAAGGCCAAATATGGTAACTCATAATTGTAATTTGTCCTCTGCATTTAACCGATCCAAGTTTGAGAAAATTACCTCGTAATTTTTTTTAATCAAAATTCCAGTGAAAACCACAGACTTCTGTCTGATGACGTATGCAGGACTTCTCCAATAGGGATGGGCACATTGATACAGCAGTATCCATATACGCACAAGCTACTTATTTGGTATTGATTCCTTTAAAAAAAACATCAATATTAAAATTACATTAATACAAAATGTCAGTTTCTGAAACAATATCAGATGTTTTCAGTACTTTTCCTAATGATTGTTCCAAAACCCACCTGACATATTGTCTATGAGAAGTAAATGTGCAGCGAAAAATGATTTTATTAACCATTTTATAAAGAAATCTTTAGGAAGTGCATGTTTAATGTTGATGGTATTTTAGTTTAATTTATTCATAAATTACATTATTATTTAATCATAATATAATGTTTTACGAAATGTTTATGTATGAAATGTTTTATTTAATTGTGCGAATAGGGATTTATATTGATTCTTCCCTTCTTTAAATAAACGACAACAGAATCAAATCCAAACTATACTAAAGATGCAAAATAAGAAAAAAAGACAAAAAAAGATCGTTGAGTCTTATTGAACAATTAGTCCCAGTTTCAAATGTGATTATTACTGTGAGTTGAATGATCAGAGGACTCTGATGTACTGTCTACTGTGACTCACTTTGAAGATCTGACCCATGCGCAGTTTGGGCAGCAGTCTCCGCCTGTTGTCTGTGATCATTCCATCCACCCTCTTCATGTGAGGCAGCAGCAGCTCGTCTGAACGCAGGACCAGATCAACCACAAAGGTCAGCTTCACCATCTGCCACTTATTAACACCCCTGTTACAAAACAGACAGAACTTCTCACCGTTCTCTCGCTCGAGCGCGTTCATGACATCCGTGTCCAGGGCGACGCTGATCAGCAGCTCTACGAAGCTCTTAAAGGTCTCCTTCATTGTTCTGGTGTTCAGGAAACGGGAAGCGAATGGAACCGGAGGCGTAAACTCTGAAAACGAGAGATGGGATTGGACAAAGCATGAGTGTGGGATATAACAGCAACAGACAGATTGATCCCCCATGAGATATTATATTGCAGAAACATGGAATAGGACATGGAATATTGTTTTGTTTTAATAATATATACCTTCTAATTTGAAGGTAGCACTTTACAATTTCAGATGCGAGCATTACACACACACACACACACACACACATATATAATATTAGGGCTGTCAAACGATTAATCGCATCCAAAATAAAAGTTTGTGTTTACATAATATATGTGGGTGAACACATATTATACAATATAATACACACACATGCATGTATATTTAAGAAAAAAATATTATTTATATATAAAATATTGATATTTATATACAATATAAATTATATTTTTTTGAAACAATTGGTTCAATTTAGAGCCCGACCGATTAAGGATTTTGAAGGCCGATGCCGATAAAAATATTTGTTGGTTTTAAAATCTGATATTCCGATATATCGGCCGATATTATTATTATTTTTTTATTTTAGAAACGCGCAACAAAATATTAACAGAATTCCCTAACATTAGTTATTTGTAGTTAATTATGAGTTTTAACTAAAATAATATGATAATGCATAACTGGTTCTCTCTGCCCGACTCTGGCTGGATCAGCAGGTTGCAGGATGTGTGGCGCGTTATACACGCCTGTCGCCAACAGGGACGGTGTAGAGTGCCCTCTGGTGGACAAACTATACAACTCCAACACTCATGAGATGGTTGAAGCGTGATTCGTCCGTTTTTATTTTATTTTTGAAATATTCATTTATCGGCCATTATAACTGCCGATACCGATAGTTTAGAAAATGCCTAATATCGGCCGATAATATCGGCCTGCCGATATATCGGTCTGGCTCTAGTTCAATTAAAAGCATGCTTTTCCCATCATTGATGTGCACACATCTAGGCTAAAAAGGTCCATTTTCTCCAGCTGTCACATGTCTCACCGTCATCCTCACTCACAGCCTCGGGTGAGGAGTCGGATGGAGATGTCGTGAACTCCTCTTTCCATTTCTTTCTCTTTTTGGGTGGCGGTTCAGCCTTGGCTTTCGTCTGCTTGGGTCTGGGTTTAGACAGAGCTTTCTGTTGTGCCGTTTTCTGCGTGGGAGAGTCCGACACAGTCACTGCAGTGAATCGTTGGGCCAGAAGAGCTTTAGCCTGAGAGCCTCTGGGAAAAACATACATCACAGATAAATTAATTAGTCACTTATGGAGTCTAATTATCAATAGCGTAGCTAATCTGACCAAAACCACAATGCTGTGAATTTTGTGCTAGCTGGCTGGAATAGAGTAATGTGTGGGATCAGTTTGATGTTGGAGATTTCAAACAACAGTGGCAGGGGATTGATGTACTATGGAAAAATATTTGGCTGAGTGGGATTGCACAATAGAGGCCTGTGGCTCAGCATGACATTTTAGAGAAGAATAGGAAAAACATGATTGCTAACTCATCTGAGCTATGTTCCTTATGCACATTGTTGTGTCCAAAGTCAATTAGGTGAGGCCAAAGTCTCGTATGAAAAAGAAGTAAGTGGACTAAATGATTGGAGAAGTCCTGCATGTCACCAGAAGATCCAGTTATGACATTTTGATTACAGATTAAAAGGTCAAGAAAAGTGCACAGATGAAATATTCACAATAAACATAATTCTAAATTAGCCGAATTCACGCTTATAGACTAGAGTAAGGCAGATTGTACCTCATTGAATGCATGGGCTTGCATCGTGGTTTCCTACTGCAAACTCGAACATACTCCCGCTTGTTGACCGTGTCAAGAAATTTGACATGTACTCTCCTGTACATAGACTTCGCATCACCAAAGTACCCCAAATACTGAAAAGAGTATATGACACTGAGTGTTGTTCACAGCATTTTGATACATTGGAAGCACACTAGGGGTGTAACGGTTCAAATTACAGTTCAAAAGTATCATGGTTTTAAGGTCACGGACCACGGTTTAATGTTCAGGCAAAAAAGGACTACTGTCAAATAAAAATAAAGAAAATGAGAACAAATAATAAAACTACAAGCAACTGCGCAAATATAAAAATAAAATAAATGTTGCTTTTAAGGTTATTTAGGTATACACAAATTGAAAAACAACACGAATAAGGATCATTTTTAAAGTTACAAAAGCTATTCAGTCAATAGCAGGGAGTGATTTTCATGTCTTTCGTTGTTTGATTAACATTAAAAACACAGACGGCAGCAGGAATATTAGGCTGCTGTCACTTTAAAGGTACAACATGCAGTATTTTTGCAGTAAAATATCTAAAACCACTAGGCCATTGATTACTTACAATATCCCAAATGTTTCCAACTATTTGTAAATCGTAAAAAAAAAAATTGCGATTTTTAACCAAGGAAACGGGGCGTGTGAGCAGGGGCGAGGAGTCGCCAGTCAATGACGTCATGTCCCCCGGTTTCCGCCAGTTTTGACCGCGTACTGCAATAGTAACCATGGCGACAGACGTGGACAACTATGTCCATTATGCGTGCTCAACAGCGCGAGCGTCACTAGCAGGGTTTTGTTCAAACATTATGGACCATGGCAAGCAGACTTTGGGACAAAAAGAGGACTAGAACGAAGATCAACATCTTTCGAGATGCCGAGAGCTCCACGTCCGCGACTAACTTCGAATTGACGGAGACGCGAGTGTTGCATGTTACTTGAGCAAACAGGTGAGCAAATCAATGTATATAAAACTAATCAATGTTATGTAGTTCAACATGATGAAAAGATAGAATATGATCTGTATGTTATTCTCTAATGTTAGTCTCATACAGCCAACAAACAACCTAACTAACAATTCAACACACACAAATGCCATTTAGTGTGATAGTGAAAGTGTTAGAGCAAGTGAAGCAGCGCTGCGTTACCTCAAGTTTAATTCCTCTAATAAACTGACCTGTGTGAGTAATTCAGCGTGTAGTTCGGTAGAATTAAATGTCCTTATTCCTTTATATATCCGCGGGACTCGCGTTGTGTGTGGCGCTGGTAAACGTCTAGCAATCGCGCCCTGCTTCATACCACAGTCATGTTAAAAACATCAATGTATTCACTCATCCATAAACGATCGACGACAACATCCATAATTCCGCTTAATGCAGAATATATGTCTTTAATATACGCCTTTGTTATTGTGAGAGGTTAGCGACCCCTGGTGGCGAAACAATCTTGTATATTGTACCTTTAAGAGCAGCATAAATGACTGGTCAAATTGAAAAATACAGCACTTTCATTGAACAAAGTTTAGGGGAAACAGATTGCATATCCATCAACAGAAACACACATTAGCCTACCTCTATCTGTTTTCCCCATATTAGAAAAGAGTAACCAGCAGATTTGAGATGAAAGTGCGTGCCGAACAATACTGTTATATTTTTGTACCGAGAACTGTCACACCCCTAGTTACACATGCATATATTGTTTTGTATTGACACTTACACTGTTGGTGGCAAAGAACACTCGTTTCCCGTCCCTGAGCTCAGGTACAAACTTCTGCAGCAGGGCTTTCTGGACCTTCCAGATGGCTGGTGGTTCAACCCCAGCAATCATTGTGATCTACACACAAAACACACATCAAAGGTTTACAGAGACATAGGGTTTGAGGAAACACAGTCAGGGAGTCTGCGCAATGTCTCATATATTTGACAGGAGGAGGTTGGTGAGAACGTCATAAACTGCTCAGCAACGACAGACACGTCACATAATGTAATTTAAAAGTCAACATGATTTTAGAGTCAACATGAAACAGCATTAACGACCCATAATATGAATTGTTTTGGAAGCAAATAGCATATTCAATGAAGGGCGGTTGTTCCATTAGTTCAGTTGGTTCAAGTTAACCAATAGCCTTGTGCATCCTAGGTGAAAGGGTTACGAAATGTCCAGAATAGATTGTGCTAGAACACATTGTCGCTCTCCAAATGGATAAAATATTTTTGACATACATTGTGTCTTTGCAGTATTTGTATTTTTTGCATATTTGTAATATTGTTCCATACATGTAAACTACCATGCTCTCTTTGGCTGTGTCCGAAATTGTACCCTATGCCCTTAAATAGAGCATTATTTGAGGGGACAGCCATTTGTGGTGGTGTCCGAAACCATAGCGGACATTATCGAGTGCAATGAACCGTGGGATTGAATGACATAACGCACTGTGGGAGTCATGCGCCAAATTAATTCACACGCTTGACCAGAAGATGGCGCCGCAGCTGAATCAACTATTCATCCATTCATTTTACAAGCTGTTGGTCCAATGTGGGTGCAGGGTACTATCATACTTTGATTATTAAACTATTTAATTAATTAATTTAATTTTAAAAAGTTCAAGATAAATCTTTCAATTTACTACTGGAGCAGCCTGGGCCCGTATTCATAAATATTCAAAGAATCCTTTCAGAAAACTCTTAATTTAGCTTAAAAGCTTTTATGTAGGAGTCTTAGCTTAAGAGCGATTCGGGACTGATCTGAGAGCAACTCTGAGTAAGGAAAAGATAAAAACATTCATTTTATGAACGTTGCGATGTATGACACAATCTTTTGATTGTGATTGTCAGGTTTTAAGTATAGAGTTTACTGGCACACACACATTATATTTATGTATATAAATTATTTTTTTATCTTGCTGTTAATTTCCTAAGGTATTTGATTGGATAAGGATGATAAAAATTGTTCCACTCTTTCCAATTGCACTGATTGCTGGCATGTCTATTTAAGTGGTGGTTTGAATGTTGGTTTTAATATAGCAAACATGGATTAAAAAACAAGAAAGCCCAACTGAACAGAAGAACCGTGTTTACTGTTAGTCGAGTTAGTGGATGAACACTAGGCCATCATTCAAGGAAAAATTGGGGCTGCTATCACAGCACGGAGCAAGAAGCGGATGTGGGAGCTTATAGCACAAATTATTAACGGTTCATTCCCCTGCTTGTACGCAGCAGGGAAGCCTGCTATATTCATAAATGCAGTTTTTTGAGCCTGCAATGTGGGAATGTCCAATGGAAACTAAATGAACTGCGTCATCACTGCTGCTTTATTGCATTTTCCATTTGCCAAATATATTAATGTAGTGATTACTTTCATTTCTGGCATTATGACATTCCTACGCTGTGTCTGAGATATTAGTGTGTCTTTAATAAGATCAGTCACAAACATGACCCCTGCACGACCTCATCTATTGTGTCTTATTAACTCGCTGTCATCCATTGCCTGCAACACATTTCAGTTCTGCCATTTTCTCCTCTGTAAAAGAAACTTTTAAGCCTTTTAAAAGTCATTATCTGTACTCCTAACAATTTGAGTAGTTCACCTTTAAAAAAATTTTTGCTGATAATTTACTCACCCCTATGTCATGCAAGATGTCCATGTCTCTGTTTCTTCAGTCGAAAAGAAATTAAGGTTTTTGATGAAAACATTCCAGGATTTTTCTCCATATAATGGACTTCAATGGGAACCAAAACAGTTAAAGGTCCAAATGAGAATTTCAGTGCAGCTTCAAAGGGCTTTAAACGACACTAGAGTATGAATAAGGGTCTAATCTAGGACCCTTCGAGTCATGACTCGAAAAAAGATTTGTTCATTTTGATGAACGAGTTTGAACAGGAGAGTCACGAACGCTCATCACAGAACAAAGCAAGGCGAGCATTTGCGCTTATAAAACTTAAACTTTGTTATTTATTTATTTATTAACTGACTGTTCGCTTCGCTAGATAAGACCCTTATTCATCGTCTGGTGTCGTTTAAAGCCCTTTGTAACTGCACTGAAACTCTCATTTGGACCTTGAACCGTTTGGTTCCCAATGAAGTCCATTATATGGAGCAAAATCCTGGAATGTTTTCATCAAAAACCTTAATTTCTTTTTGACTGAAGAAAGATCTTGGATGACATGGGGGTGAGTAAATAATCAGCAAAAGTTTTTTTAAAAGTGAACTACTCCTTTAAGACCTCTTTTAACGGTTAATATGCTTCCTGAATTACTTTTTTCTTTACTAGGATTTTTTCTTTAATTATAAGGGTAAACGTCCATATTTCAAAGAATTTTGTCACTAGGAGCGACTCTTTGCATTAAGATTCTTTATGAAAACGGGCCCAGTTTTCTAAGTTTCAGAATGATTATTAAACAGCAAGGACAAAGTATGCAAATCGGCAGCCCTTCCGGCGCAATCAGTGTCTGAATTCACTGACTTGTTTCAATTCACTCCTTCAAGTGGATATATTAGAGTAATGTAGACTAGGGAATAGTGAACACAGCCTTTGAGTTCTACTCTTGCTAATTGTTTGTTGCAGTGTGTTGAAATCTTTGCACGTACATGTCAAACTTTTTATTCACTTGCAGTTTATAAAATAAAATCTTTGTGCAAGGCTTTCTCTAGTCTGGACTGAATTCACTTGTGCGGTTAGCTTTTTTTGGTTTGTTTGTTCAAAATAAATTGTGCACAATAATACCAGTAACATGTAAGTGTTGATTTCATGCTGACTTCTATAAATAAAGGGCACAAAAAGCACATCTCAGCATACCTCCATCCTTTCAATGTCCTCATTCCTAACCACAAACTCATCTCGCTCCCGGTACATGCCCTCCCCTCCACTATCCGACAGCTCCTCGTCCATCAGACCCTCGATAGCAACCGCGGTCAGTTGAACTGCTAACTTGTCTGGAGGCACATCCTTCACCAACTCCTCTGCAGAAATCTTCTGTACAGCCTTCAGTTGCTCCTGTGGCTTGGCAACTATAGGCTGTGTGCTGGAGGCCTGAAGCTGCTTAGTATTGTCACCTAAATATATGTTGTGTTGAAACGGGAAAAGATTAACTAGGGTTTTCATAATACCTACATTTCAGAATTCAGAACCTCAATAATAATACTACAGCAACATGCTTTACCTTTACATATAGCATTATAATGACCCAGGCACATATTGCAATATTAAATATTAAAGGGATACTCCACTTTTTTTGGAAATAGGCTCATTTTACAACTCCCCCAGAGTTAAACAGTTGAGTTTTATCGTTTTCGAATCCATTCAACCGATTTTCTGATATTTAGAGGAATATCAGTAACCTTTTTCAATGAGACAGTTTTTGGTCTCATTAACTTCCATAGTATCTATTTTTTCCTACTATGGATGTCAATGAGACCAGAAAATGTCTGGTTATTCCTCTAAATATCAGAAAATTGGCTGAATGGATTCGAAAACGGTAAAACTCCACTGTTTAACTCTGAGGGAGTTATAAAATGAGCTTATTTCCAGAAAAAAGTGGAGTATCCCTTTAAAGTAGTTGACTTTTGAAAAAACTTTTGCCGATAATTTACTCACCCCCATGTCATCCAAGATGTCCATGTCATTCTTTCTTCAGTCGAAAAGAAATTAGGTTTTTGATGAAAAGATTCCAGCATTTTTCTCCATGTAATGGACTTTAATGGGAACCAAATGGTTCAAGGTCCAAAAGACACTTTCAGTACAAACTGCAAACTGTTCAAAGGGCTTTAAACGATGAATAAGGGTCTTATCAAGCGAAACGGTCGCTCATTTAAAAAAAAAAAAATAACAAAGTTTAAGTTTTATAAGCTCAAATGCTCGCCTTGCTCTGTTACTCTCCTGTTCGAACTCGTTCATCAAAATGAATGAATCTTTTTCTGAGTCAATTCGTTCGTTGAATGAACCAAATGACTCGGAAAAAGATTTGTTTGAAAGTGTCTTTTGAACCTTGAACCGTTTGGTTCCCATTGAAGTCCATTATATGGAAAAAAATGCTGGAATGTTTCCATCAAAAACCTTAATTTCTTTTCGACTGAAGAAAGAAAGACATGGACATCTTGGATGAGTGACATGGGGGTGAGTAAATTATCAGCAAAAGTTTTTTGAAAAGTGAACTACTCCTTTAAAGGAAATGTCTTCCATACCCAACTTCTGCTTTTTTTCTGTGGGCTCATCTAAGGATGAAAGCGCAGAAGTGATGCTCTTTTGCAGATCCTGGTTTTTCCCCACCGAATCATCTTCGTCAGAGGAAAAGGTTGGCAGCGTTTCCAGGTTCCTTTGGAGCTCTTCATCAAGTCGCTTCGTAGAAATGACGCTATGAGGGTCTGGAGATGTCAATGGGGTTGAAGGAAGGGGAGGTTTAAAAGGAATAAGTAATGGATTAGGAGGCCTCTTGGAGGTCGAAGGCTTTCTGGTGCGACTGGGTGACCGTATTGGTGGAGATGATAGGTTTTGTCTGGATCCAGATTTAAGGAAGTCCAAGAAGGAGCCCAAGAACCCAGTTTTAACCTCTGGCTGTTTTTCTTCAACCTCTTTTAACTTCTGACGCATCCTCTCCTGCTGTTGGAAGCTTTCATTAGAAGTCTCTGAGGTGGAAGTCAAACTTGCCTCACTGGCACGTGAATTCTGGCGCTTAACTTGTGTGCTTTTCTTCTGAGATTTGGATTGACCATTTTCATCTTCAACAGACTGCTTGGACGAACCCTTCGATCTGGATCGTTTTTTTGGAAGGCCATCAGTAGGATGCTCAATAAGACCGTCATCGTTTTTAAGGCCTTTCGATCCCTTTAACTGGCTTATATTATTATTTGACACATTTTCAATATTCAGATGCCCTGACTGACTTTGTTCCTGGCCGGCCAACTGAAAGTCAGAGGAGGTTGTATTACTAATAGCAAGTCCATTAGCATTCAAAGCAGAACCATTGCTAGAGTTCACAAAATGTCCTTTGGGTAACACATCATTCTTCTCATGAGCGTTTGCTACCTTGTCAGATATTTCTTGTGCAGAGTTGTTTCTTCCCACAGGTTGGTTATGAGAGTTTGAGAGCGTAAACACTTGGTGTCCCTCCGTTTCTTCTTTGGAGTATGTCGTTTGAGCACCAATTATAGTCATCGCTTGCGAGTTAGCGATTACCATATGCTGAGATGGGAAACTATTTAGTCTGTTCTCAGAGGACTGAAAATTGCACTTGGAATCTATAGAGTTGGCGACCGATGACATGTCGCCATCAGATGATGTGGATTTGACAAAATCCTGTGGTGTGACGCCACAGGCGGCCGCCGTAGCAGCGAGAATGTCGTCGACATTTGAGAGGATGTTCCTGTCATCTGCCAATAGCATGGAGTCAGGAAAACATACAGAACTGAGAGTAAAGTTCTGCTTTGTGTCATGAGGATTTGAATGATTGAAGTTGTCTTTTTGTGTCGGGTCCTGTTTAGTGGACTCTGCCGAGTTGGGCACTTGGTGAGAGACAATTGGCTGGTTGTGACGCCCATTAACTGTCAAATGACCAGTGTCGCTGTTCATTTGGAGATATTGGACTGGTACGGACTGCATGTACATAGTCTGCTTGGGCTGATTCTGGCCTGAAGTGAGCACAGGCTGCTGCAGAACAATCATGTGAGAGGGATCGAGTAGCACTTGGGAACTGGGAACCCGGATGAACTGTGTTTGGTCCTCAGACAGCTGTCTGGGATCACTCGGTTGAACTCGGATAATCTGACCCTGATGATTCTGCTGCTGAGATATGGACCCTTTCAGAACTAGAGTATGCTGTTTCAGCTGGTCGGCACTCAAGGGTGCAAGGGTGGAGTGCATCAATAGAGGGTTACTCTTGGGCTCGGAGGGAGTATTGGCACTAGTAGCGAGCTCCTTTGTGGTTTCCAAATGTGTAAGGACCTGCTCCTCAGATCGGGAGTTACTGCGAATGACACTTTGAGTGTTATGCCTGTCTTCCATCTTTGAAACTACGTAAACGTCATTTTTTGTTCCGATTTCAGTGGCTGAAAGGGTTTGGGGAGAGGTCCCCATAGATCCTTTCTGTAATGCCTGCACATCCTCAAGGGGAAGCTCTCCAGAGCTCTCTTTTGAGGAAAGAAAGATTTGTTCATCTTGCTGACGTTGTTTTAAGTCAACTGAGGACTGGTCAGTGGGCAAGGCTTGGGTGTGGGTGGCAGGAGAGGAGGTTGATGACTGGACAGATACCAAGTACTTCTGCTGTAACAAGGCACTGTCTGTCTTGCTAAGCGGGGAAGACTGCATTAGGATGTAATCCGGGCCTAGGTTAGCAGATGATGAGCTTCGGGCACGATTGGGTGAGAAAGAAGAGACGGAGGAGAGGGACTGACTTGACACATAGTTCTGTGAAGGTACGCTAGCAGATGTTGGCCCCTGGGTATAGAAACTAATGGTTGGCAGGCTCTGAGAGTGGCTGGAAGAATAGTTTTGAGAAGGACTTCCCATGCAAAGAGTTTGCCCAGGTGTCTCGTACCCATCCCTGTTTCCCACATGTGGCAATTCCTGCTGCTGACTGGAGGAATAAACAAGAGACTGGCTCACAGATGTCTCAGCTTCAGATTGGCTAGTGTATGACAAGAGAGTCTTGTAAATGGAAGGGAGCTTCTCAGACAAACTAGATGAGAAGGCCTGTGTTTGGCTCAGGTTGCTCGACAGGCTTTGAGATGTGATGTAAGCATGCGAGGCACTAACGGACACCAGGCTCGAAAGCTGCGTGGATGTGTATGGTTGCGATTGGCTGGCGATCACTGAACTTTGTTTCTGGGCTGAGGAAGAGTAGCTCGGCAGCTGCAGGCCTGGGGAGCTTGTCTGGGCTTGAGTGTCTGCGTTCCCACTGGGATGTTGAGCTGTTTTGCTAGAACCGTCTTTAACCTTTACTCCAGATGTGCTGGAAAACCCAGGGGAGGGGACAGAAGAAGCGTAGGCCTGAGTTTGCTGCAGCGCTGTATTAGAAGTCTTCTGTTGTGCAGTGCCGTTTAGGGGTGAAGGGTCACCTGCAGGACTGCAGGGTACGGGCGTGTGCGGGGAAAGGTCCTGTTGATATGAAATGTCATCCTCGTCATGCAGGTAACTCTGTAGGGAGTGCTGGGTACTGCTAGCCAGCTGCTCCTGGACTGGCTGGGTGCTAGAAGGCCGCTGATGGTGCTTGATCACACTACATTCACGTTGAAGTGCTCGTTCGATGGAGCCTGAGAAAACCGGGCCACCGTAAGGCTGGGGGGCCTGCTGGGAACTGCCCAAAGATGTGGACAGCAGACTGAACTGAGGCTGAAGGAGGTGTGGGGCTGACTCTTGTGCTGAGCGATACGTGGAGGACTGAGGTGGCAAGCCGACCCCTAGAGACGTACCACCAAAAGCAAGTGAAGTTGGCACAGTGTTCTGGGAGGATTTGAACTGGAGCAGAGGGTCATTAGGGGATAGCAGACCATTCGAAGAGATGAAAGTGCTGTCCTGAACAGCAAGCGCTGATGTAGTGGTGAAACTTCTTGTAGGAAAGGCACTAGGGTGCTGATAGGAGGAGAGCGCTGAAGGTGTTGGGAACGTTCCTGATGGATGCAGGGCTCCGGTGAGAAAAAGTTCTGTTGAAGTGTTTGCACCTGTAGCAGAAAACGTTAAAGTTTGATGAACTGCAGACAGAATTGCATCTGAACATGGCATCTCTTTTGCACTAAAATACCCCTTTGGTGTATAACAACAACACTTCAGGGGGTCATACAATATAATTGAAGGAGAGGACAGTGCAAAAAAGACAATAAAGTTGCAGACTATTCGTGAGTGCAGTAATGCACTAATTGATTTCACATGCTAAGAGGGAGTTTACACAAAAGTCTGGCAGCAACAACAACAAAAAAGAGAAGTTGGGTGGTAAATGGTCATAAACAACGAAATTATTACCTTTTATACATAAAATAACATTTTATTTCATTTTCATAAAAAGAGAAATACAATGACCCCAACTTTTACCCTAATGACCCATTAAAGGAGTAGTTCACTTTTAAAAAGACTTTTGCTGATAATTTACTCACCCGCATGTTATCCAAGATGTCCATGTCTTTCTTTCTTCAGTTGAAAAGAAATTAAGGTTTTTGATGAAAACATTCCAGGATTTTCTCCATATAATGGATGAACCAAACGGTTCAAGGTCCAAATGAGAGTTTCAGTGCAGCTTCAAAGGACTTTAAACGACACCAGACAATGAATCTTATCTAGGACCCTTCGAGTCATGACTCGAAAAAAGATTTGTTCATTTTGATGAACGAGTTCGAACAGGAGTCACGAACGCTCATCACAGAACAGAGCAAGGCAAGCATTTGTGCTTATAAAACTTCTACTTTTTTATTTATTTTTTAAATTACCAATCGTTTCGCTAGATAAGACCCTTATTCATCGTCTGGAGTCGTTTAAAACCATTTGAAGCTGCACTGAAATTCTCATTTGGACCTTGAACCATTTGGTTCCCAATGAAGTCCATTATAAAGAGAAAATCCTGGAATGTTTTCATCAAAAACCTTAATTTCTTTTCAACTGAAGAAAGAAAGACATGGACATCTTGGATGACATGGGGGTGAGTAAATTATCAGCAAAAGTTTTTTTAAAAGTGAACTACTCCTTTAAGGATGACTGGCAAAAAGGGAAGATGGTGCAGCCAAAACTTCAGTGGTTCCTCTAAAACAGAGATCTAATGCATGTTTACCTGTTTGCCAGGAGGGGCTTCGAAATGGAGGGAGAAGAGTAGAGCCAGCAGGTCCAGCCTGAAGGCCTCGGGATTCAATAGCGGAGAGGAAGTTCATGACTGATGATTCAGTAGTGTTGCTGCTGGCTGTGCTGTGCTGATTTGAGTCAAACACTCCTAAAAGAGAGAGATACCAAACACAGACAAACAGGCTGTCGGTGACTTAAAGGAGGGACTATATTTCGTTATAGCATGAACCGTTTGCTCACCTGTGGGGTGGTGGGTGGTGGTAAACGTAGGCTGGTGACTAGAGGCAAAGGTCTGCCGTTGGAGGATCTCAGACTCCAATTGTGTAGAACCATAACTTGAACTATTGAAGTAAAATCGTCACTTTTAGACAGTAAAAACGACTAACCACAACCTTTTACCAAGCTCACACAAAGATCTTTAATCTTCACATTTGTATACAGTCTCTTCACACGCAACCTATTCTTGAGGTTCTGTACACTTTACACTAACCAAACTCAAACTATTTTAAACATAATAGCAGATATCACAAACGTTCTCTGTGAAGTAGCCTAGTTTGGTAGTAGTAGGCGGGTAGAAGTAGCATAGTTTGGGTAGTTATATAGTCTGCATATTAAAAGTGGATTATAAAAGTTCTCCGTCATAAATAAATAGCCATACTTCACAACAAATGAGACAAAAAAGTCACAAGCAACAAAGACTGGACTTGAGAAAACATATGGAAACTATTTTAGTTGGTTTGTCTGTTATGATTGTACAAAGCCACATCTCTTGCTAAATAGAGGCAAGTCTGTCTACATAATATATTTTGCCAAATAAACATCTGCATAAGTAAATGTAACAGCTGGCAAGATTCATTTTTGAGTTTGTTTCCTAGCTGTTTTTGATGGCTTCAGTGTGGATGTGTGTACAGACGTCACATAAACTAACAGAGAGGATATCCATTAGCTAGTTCTAGTCAGTTAAATTTGCTATTATACTCAAATGTTTATTTATTGAAAGAGACAGTTGATCATTTTAACTAGTTAATCCAAACTACTATTGAACACAATTCAGCTACCAACAAGGAATTTGTTAGCCACAACTCTAATATGCACAGGTAATGTTTATCGGGAGGTTAATAATATATTTGTATTTATTTATTCCTTCTCAATTCATATTTTCTTATAGTTTTCTTATGATAAAACAAAATCGTGTTCCTCACTGATTTCTGATGTATGGTGTCAATGTCAATTTCTACAGAACCATTCAAAACCATAAGTTAGAAGATGGAAACTTCTGATTTTTGAGTAAACAGAGCTGCCTGGGCAATGTGATATATGCATGCTTGAACAATGTAATAAACTGTCCCTGGTTCTGACTTCTAAACCACCTGGTGCTTTTGGCACCGTCTCAAAATCTAGTGTGCTGCTGACTATAACTACCCTGCCTTGGTTTTGTTTTTACACTTAAATAATAGTAACACTTTACAATACGGTTCATTTATTAAACATTAGTTAATGTATTAACTAACATGAACTAACCATGATCAATACATTTGTTACTGTTTTTGTTCATTAATACAAATACAGCTGTTCATTGTTAGTTCATGTTAACTCACAGTGCATTAGCTAATGTTCACAAGATTTTAATGAAGTATTAGTAAATGTTGAAATTAACATTAACTAAGAGTAAGAGCATTTGTTAATGTATACTAATGTAGTTAACTAATGAACCTTATTGTAAAGTGTTACCAAATTAATTTTACAGAACAGTTATACTGATTAAATGACTTGAAAACTGTAGATCTGCCTGATAAAAAGAAGCAATTTATGCATATAGATACGATGCACTGGCACTATACATGTGTAAATTAAGCTAATTAATGACAGACAGACCTAAATAAGACACTTTGTGTAAAGTTGCACACACGTGTTCTGCAACACTATCGATCAATTGTTTACAAATCTCCTCCATGTCTGCGAACACATTGTCTGTGTCTGCAGTGTCACGTTACAAGTTTATATACGAGAAACCAAGCTGACACAGTTCTTAATCTGCACTTTCTGATCATTCATGCACAAAGACATATAAATTAGCATAATGAATAATAACTAATTACGGTGTGAGTGCGGATTGAAAGGTAACTAAATGAGTGATTTGAGCACATTCATGAGATTCACGGTGTATTACTCCGCGAGTGCCTAAAGCTATAAACGCATTAGCTACATTAAAACTGCCTTTATATACGTCTTGACACTTTTACATGTGTGTTTGTTTCGCTAGGCCTTCCATCACCGGAGTTTTCTTCGGGAGGCGACCCACCCTCTCGTACCTGGGTTTGTAGGCCCAGCCCGCGCTCTGAGCCGCCGCGCTGACCGGCTCTGTGAAGCTGGAGCTCGGGTAATTCCTCTCCATCCTCCGCCTTGGATCGGGAATGACGGGCGTCCCCTGATACAGCTACACATTCAACCAAGCGTGACAAAATCACATATTTCTCCAAACGTTGCTGGTCCCGTGGTGATCCGAGCACTGGTCCCGGGGGTCGGACGGCTGATTTGTGCTGTGGATTAACGGTTAATAAGCGCAGGGTGAGAATCACTGCTCGTGGCCCCCGAACATAATCACACAGAGTCAGAAGCGCTGCTGCATCGAGTCCCCATATTGACGTTTTTCTCCCAAACATTCACTTCCGAGTTCCGACAAACTTTAGATGGAAGTTTTTTTTGCTTTTCTCCCCCCTCTGTCTCTCTTTCTCTCCCTCTCTCGCTCCACACACACACACGCGCGCGCCCGCGCATATCCCTGTGGAGACTTGTATTCATTGTTGCTAAAATGAATAGCCTATATGGTTCCACTTTATAACTGTGTGCTGTTTTTAACCGTCTACTATTTTGTACTAACATTTAAATTAATAATTTGATGGAATTAACTTATTGTGTAGCTTACACATAGCCTATTTGTTCTTATTTTTTTAAATGCTAATTAATTTATGCAATTACAACTCATCTATTACACTGTAGACGTTTCTCTTACACCTAACCCACTCTTAAACCAAACCATCAAACCTGTCCTAACTGTAAAACTGTTTCGCAATACATTGTGATTTTTTTATGTTAGTAAAAAGACACCTAATAAATTATTTTAGCCTACCTTCTCCTTATCAATAACTTTACATACACCCAATGTCATAAGTAGTAGTTGTGGTACAGTGGCTCTCAAGCTGTGGTTTGTGAAGAATGTCAAGTGGTTTGGCTGATTTAAAGGGATAATTCACCCCCAAATTAAAATTCTTTCCTTAAGTAAAACTAATCCATATGATTTGAGCAGTTTTGTCCAAAGTTGATGTTCATTCTCGTGTTAAGCAGCACGTTTGAGCTTCTGCAGGAACCAATGAGGTTTGTTCTTGTGCGTCAAGCAGGTTCAGCTGAGCTTTGGGTTGTGCTGTGGTTGCTCATAAGGAATGGGAGAAAATAGGTGTATGTATAATAAACATAAAAGCAAAGTGATGTTAGAAGTGAATGGGTCATAGAACTACACAATGAGTTTTACGATGTTATAATTCTTTTAAAAAAAAGAATCCTTTAGCCATTATTTTGTTGTCTATTTATTACATGTATATAGTTTAATAGCCGTCTAATTGATGACTAGTTTATTTTTGGGCTATGTTTAGACGTCTATTAGATTTTCACTGACAGCCCAAATTTAGCCTTGTTTTAGCCTAGACGTCTGGGCTATGTTTTGACGGCTATCTTTTAGACGCAAAATTGCTTGCTGGGACATCTGTACAACTACACCTTGTAAAAATGTAACACATTAACTTTGCAAACATGATTATTAAATGGCAATCTATTTGTTAATAATTAAGTGATGACTGAATACACCAAGGCCAGCTTTATGTAGATCATGTTTTCAACCAAGGTACCAAAAAATAATTTGTGTTGGTTATTATTTCCCATATGTTGTTGTGGCTTTTTGTTTTTAAAATAATTTCGTTAGAGAATTCCTCCAAGCATTCCCCTTTTAAAGTGTGTTATGTAAAGAACAAGTCATGAAATTGATTTCACAGTAGGCCAATGTTTATTTCATTAAAAGCCATAGTAAAAAGGACAAAAATCGTTATTTGATCAAACAATTTGTAACGTATCTTTAAGAGTTAAGCATTCCATATTTATCTTGTGGCGTTTATTAATAAGCAAGAAAATCATAGGCTATACAACAGGATTGATTGCATGCTCAAGTTTTAAATACAAACGATTTTGCTTTATTATTCCTCTATTCAGTCGGAAGGTTTTCTCGCCACAAGTTGAAAAACAGCCTCAAAGTCAGACACGGAGTTGCTTCCGGGCTCCTCTTCTACAGGCAGTAAATTAAACTCTTGGATAGAGAGGCCTAAACCTCTGAGCGTTTCCTCAATATCAGACTGACTCAGTCTAAGACAAGAAAAGGATTGTTCATCCACCTTGTAGAATGTCTCACCTAGAACACCAACCATGACCAGAATTCCACCAGGACGCAGGAGCTTGTTCAGCCCATGTAAAGCGCGACGGTATGTCTGAATGTCTTTACACGCTGCTTCCAGGCACAGAGATGTAATGACACAGTCCGCTGGTTCCAATGTGTGTGGATAGAACGGATTATCCAACCGGACATCACATTTTAAAACCTTTTTGACTCGTTGCTTAAGCGAAGCCTCCAAATCAGACGGGCTGAAGTTCAAAGATGAATGAAAAGTGAAGAAGAAGAATTGTATCATGTGTAAAATGGGCTTGGCTCTGTAATTTTATAAATGGGTGTTGTTGTTGTTTTCTTCTTCATCCTTACATTGTTTTACCAATGGAGTTTAGTTGGGTGATCTATAGCAGTTCCGTGACCGTGGAGAGCGAAGGTTCGTTTCTTACTGGATTGGTCATCTATAAAGGTTAAAGGAAAAAATGAGCCGGTGTGCCCCTCACAAAAATTTGGGGAAATTTTGTGAGAGCCTGATATCCAAAATGGCTGCCGTCGGCCAAGCTGGAAATGAACTTTTTAATGGTTTTGCCCACAATACATTGTTTCTGAGACTATTTGGGTCAAGAAATTCTTAAATTACGTATTGATTTTTACCCATTTTTGACCTTCAAATTCAAGATGGCCGCCAATTGGCTCTTTAAGGTGAGACACCATTACAGGGGTGCTTCTCATTTCTTACTTGTGCACTCGTTTCCTTTCCTCGAGTAACAGCTCCACCCCCTGTAGGACGCGAGGAAAGGAAATGAGGAATCGAGTAAAAGTTTTTTAATACATTGGATACTTGATCACTCGAGCGTCACTCCACAGTGTCTGTCATCAGCAGCGCTAAGATGATCCCTTATGTTATTGAAGTTTGGTTATTACATTCATAATAAATAATAATACAGATAGGCTACACTGTTGAATTATGTGAGATGTGTGGTTTATATAAACTGCAAAGGTAAAGTATAAATTAAAATGACCAATGTGAAGGGGGAGGAGAATTGATAATTGCAAGGCGGAACTCCAAAAGGAGGACGCCGGCAACATGCAGATATGTTTCTTCGCTGAGGAGCCAAGACTGAACTCAGTCGGTCCATGCGGTACAGTGGAAGTGGCAGGAAGACGTAACGTCTCTGTTCCCTACTCAGGGAACAAGGGTTACATTTTTGTGAGGGGCACCCCGGCTCATTTTTATCTTTAACCTTTATAGATGACTAATCCAGTGAGAAACGAACCTTCGCTCTCCGCGGTCACAGAACTGCTAGCTCACCCAACTAATTAGTCAGCAAGTTAATTCCAAAATTGTTTTGAAGCGTAATGTAGCCTTACTTTTATTATAGGCCGAAATGTGATGAAAATAACAAGATAATTTTTCTCTGTGTTAGGTAATTAAACTTAAGAATTTATTTTCCATATAGACCATTTCACAAGATGTAAACAACACTGGTCCAGAAACACTTCCTGTTTTAGTTTGTAACTGTTTTCTTTATTTCACATGTAAAGAAAACATCTTAAAGATGTTTGTTTAACTTTTTGATTCAGTTTTAAATGTTCTGTTGGTTGTATTTTATCCCAGCTTTTATGTAGTGTTAAAAAACTGAAACAGGAAGTGCTTCTGGACCAGTGTTGTTTACATCTTGTGAAATGGTCTATAGGCTAGAGTCCAAAGTCCAAGCCTACAAATAACCTTACCTTTTCCCCTCCAGGTCACAGATGTGCTGCAAAATAGGTTTCCAATCTAAACAGCCTTCTTCATTTTTCAACCATTTTTCAATTTCTATTCGATTGTTATCAGCGAAATCAGACAGCACAATCTCGTCGTAGTGTTCGCACGCGCTTAAGACGCTGTGGATAGATGGTCCGCTGCCCACATCAATCAGCCTCTGACCTCCATGTTCTCCTTTAAAACAAACATTTATGTAAAACGTAAGCTATTTAAGAAAAGTAAAACATTTAGACCAAGCGATTATATTAGTTGTTTGCTTGCTTACCCGCGGAGAAAACTCGGCTAAGACATCCTAAAACGAAAGTGAGAAAATCCTTCTCGTCAGAGTGACCGCGAGGACAGGAATAGAAATTTTTAACATATGCACGCGAATCAAAATGCCGCTGATAGAACTCTCCCTCAGTGAAGTTCATGCATTCACTCATGATTACAACACGTAGGCCTATGTGTCGACGAAGACTGTAGTTTTTTTTTTCTTTTTTTAAGAGTAAACTGTCCTGCTGTCCTTATGGACCTGTAAACAGAAGAGGCGCAAATGCGGAATATCCAGACTTCAGCAACTGACGCATCTGCGTGCACGTATTAACACATACTAGGGCAGGGGCGGATTGCTTGGAAAGACTAAGAGCACTCAAAAACATTAGGCCTACTTTAAGTAACACAATGTATTTATTTTTTTACAGTATTTAAACACGCAAATTATTTATTAAAGACATCACCAGTAGCCTATATAACCATTTCATCCATGAATGAATCACAAAGTCTAATATGTTTTTCAGGTTTAACTTTTTATTTTTATTTTGAGTGAGTATGCTAACATATCTGTCCACTGAAGTGGACACCATGCAATCTAAAAAGTTATTCAATAGAACTAATTGTTTGGTCTGAAAAAATAAATAAATAAAAAGGGTATGAACATACGCCAATACACATGAGAACATTAATATAACAACAAAATTTCTGATTAAAAAAAAAAATTGCTGATCAATGTTTATATGAGAATAAAAGTAAATTCTAAAAGAAAGAAACTTAATCTGTGCATCATATAAATCGCTTTATATGATGCACAGATTTATTTTAGTTTCTTTGTTTAGAATTTAGGGCGTATCACCTGTAGTAATTAATACACCTAGTGTTTTCATCATGCACAAAAATGTAACAACATGACACTAAAATCCAAAAATAGTCAAAGCAGGAATTTTATTATAAAGTCTATTAATATCCCTATGATGATAACACCAGAGCCTATCATGTAAAAAGCATCAGAGACGCATCTGTCTCCAGAAATCTGACAACCTGGCATGAGCGTCATGACGTTAGAGGTAATCTTGAGTTTATTTCTCACACATGAAGACCAAATATTGATCCCGTAAATACACTAATTGTAAGTCACACTCTAGATCTCTACAAAATTACATGTATACTTATGTATATGTCCTTCACAATAACCCAGTATGTTAAATAAAACATTATCAACTCTTTATTGTTATAATAAAATAGTTCATATCAAAACTGGTTTTCAATGGTTATTGTTTTAAATAAACACAATTAAAAAGAATTTACAACAAGTGATTACAGTAGATTTTTAAAGCTATCTTTCCAGTCAATCCTGATTTAGTTTGGCAAATGATGAATGGTTATCTTCTGACGCTGCCTGGCCGGGAACTGCGGATAGATATTAGATGTGTGGAATTAGATTTGTGACCATTTTAACGGAAAATACACTATAAAAAAAATACACTATAAAAAAAAAATCAATCGCAAAATTGATTCATATTTGCGTAGACCAGTGGTTCTCAAGCTTCCGAGATTATGACTTAAAATTATTTCAAATTAGACAAAACTACATAAAAAAAAGTTTTTGAGTCCACTTATTTTATGTAAAGAAGTAAAATCTCAATGGTCATTGGCCATCTTTAATGAATATATTTTTTCCTTGTTAAGCAAAGCTCTACAATATTATTGAGTAGATATGTTGAGTAAAAAGCAAATTAATGAGGAAACCCTTCTCCAGTAAATCATGAAAAACTGGAAAAGTCATGGGGGTCATTCTGTGACAAATCCACCAAAATCTGGAAAGTTCCCCAACTAAAATTATTTCAAAATGATTCGATTTTTTTATTTTTTTTTCCCCAAAGACAGACAAACAGCGAGGAAAGCCAAAATATGAAATGCCATGGATGAATATTTACTAATCCACTATTTTGTAGAGGGGGGTCAGAATGACGAATTTCACCTGAGATTTGGAGCCACATTACAGGTGAGCAGAAATGACTTGAGAAAGATGGCAGCATCATTATTTTAGTTTTACACATACACTAGAGGCCTATTAGTAAAAATCTGTTGACTTTAACAAGTTTGCATGCCTGCAAATCAAGATGCATCTCTAATGTATCTGTATCTCAGATGTATCTGTAAGATGACATCTCAATATCCTTTTGTAAATTTTGATTTTAAACAAACTTTTCTTTTAATATGTTTATTTGTAAGGCCCTATATGAGTAATTCCCAGAGATATCGGGATCTTAATGTGGCTCTATTAGTAAATTGGACAGATTTTCAGTGGCCAAAATGTGGGTCACTTTGCATGCAGTTGATGCTTTTTCGTTTAAAGAGAAATGTTTAAATAACAAATTATGTTAAAACTATATCTAATATCTTGTTTCCCCTTTATCAAAATCTTTTTATGGAACATCCCTGTCTGAGTGCCATAAATGTTATTTTTCCAAAGTTTGCGTGACTGTTACTCAAGAAGTAATACAGATTACCTCAGTATTTTTTTTTTATTCTGGTTCTTGAACTTTTCTTTTGGTTTGTTCGGTTTTAAGGCCCTATATGGTTACTTTCCAGAGATATGAAGATCTCAATGTGGCTCCATGCGCAAATTGTTGAACCAGCTGATACTGATACGGTACTAAGGAATGTCTGAAGAACAAAAAAAACCCTAAAAACTAGAAATGTATTTTCTTGTCTTCTATCAAATCAACTGTATTGAACATACTAATGTTAACAATAGTTAAGAACCAAAAATACACTGAAATAGCCAAGTTAAGGCACATTAACTCTTCCACAGATCTGTAAAAGCACATTTCTGAAATACAAAAGTGAAATATAAGTATTGCACCAGCTAAATAGCATGGTTTCCTGATTCTCAATAACAAGGATGTTGACATTGTTGTTTTTATGTGAATAAATATAGGCACTTTTATAAACGTTTAACATTATTTGTTCTTTAGACACCCACATTTTTTGGACCACTGAAAATATATACAATTTTCTTCTAGAGCCACATTGAGATCCCCATATCTCTGGAATTGAACCATATATGGCCTTAAAAATTAAATCACCAAAAGAAATGTTCGTTAAGAACCAGAAAATAAAAACATACTGTGATATCTTTATTAGGCTACATATTGAGATATCTTTATTTATTACTATCTTTATTAAGTAACAGGCATGTGCTTCTCCCCAACTGTCAGCATTGATAATTTGATATACAATTCCACAAAGATTGTTAAATACAATAGAATTTACAAATAGATATTTTCTCCCCCCGTAATGTGGCTTTAAATTGTAGGTGACAAAACTGTGGCTTACTCAGTAAATATGTATCCACTTTCATTACTATTTATGTTAAATATAAAAAAAAAAAAAAATGTATTGAGTTGAGTTGACACGGCATGACCCATGGGGCCTTTGAAAATGGCTGTGGACAATGAGAACCATATTGAGAACCACTGGTGTGGAAAAAACAGCAACTTTCTCTTTAGAAAGCAATTAGAAACCAACAGTGATTACAATTAACCATGAGTTGCTAGCTGTTATGGCAATTATTGTACTATAAATTGTTTTTGATATTGTTTAAGAAAAGTTAAATGGTCGGTAATAAATAACTAAATGACATAATAGAGGTGTTTATAAAAATGACAAAGAGGTTACATAAGGGAACACAAATGAAATGGTGTGTCTGTACCCAGGGTATGGTGGAGGTGGGGCATCATGTGGTCCAGTGATGGCGATGGCCTGTTCATAAGAAGGTAAACCAGGAGCACCAGGGTGTCCGTCGGAGTCTGCGTGAGGAATAGGATGAAGAGAAACCTCCTCCAGTCTACGGATAATCACGGAGGCATTGCTTCGGTTGGATCGACGTCTGAAGGAGCTGAAATTAAAAAGCAAATCATTGTTCTCAGTCTCTTCAGGATAATTGTCTCAAATATACAGAATGTGGTTCACACTTTTTAAGCCTTACCCTCGGAAGCCATGGTCTTTATTCCTCCCCTGGCAGAAGTACCAGATGACCAGGCCAACTATAACGATGAAGACTCCAGCGGAGATAATGCCCACCAGCAGCGCTGTTACATCAACTTTTGATTTGGATTCACCTTTATCTATGGGTACGGGTGGAAATAAAACCAAAAGTTATCAAATCTAAAAATAAAATAAAACAAATAAATAACAAAAATAAAAATTATTATTATTATTATATGATGAATATCTGATTGATGAGTATCTTTGAAATATAATACTACAGAAAGAATATGTACATACTCCAGTCTTGAGCATCACATGATCCTTCACAAATCATTCTAATAAGCTATTGGATAAATATTGATTTTAAATGTTAAAAACTGCTTACTATTTTTTGTGGAAACTGTGATACAAGCATTTGCATTTATTTGAAATAGAAATCATTTTTAACATTATAAATGTCTTTACTGTTATTTTTGATTAATTTAATGCATCCTTGCTAAATAGAAGTATAATTTTTGTTTTGTTTTTTCCACTTAAATCTCTTTTACCCCTAAATGGCATATCATGGTTTCCACAAAAATATGAATGTTTTCAACAACGATAATAAGTGCTAAATCAGCATATTAAAATGATTTCTGAAGGATCATGTGACACTATATATATATATATATATATATATATATATATATATATATATACATACACACACAAACACACACTCACTCCTAAAGGATTATTAGGAAGGAACACCACACTAATACTGTGTTTGACCCCCTTTCACCTTCAGAACTGCCTTAATTCTACGTGGCATTGATTCAACAAGGTGCTGAAAGCATTCTTCAGAAATGTTGGCCAATATTGATAGGATAGCATCTTGCAGTTGATGGAGATTTGTGGGATGCACAGACAGGGCACGAAGCTCCTGTTCCACCACATCCCAAAGATGCTCTATTGGGTTGAGATCTGGTGACTGTGGGGGCCATTTTAGTACAGTCAACTCATTGTTATGTTCAAGAAACCAATTTGAAATGATTCGAGCTTTGTGACATGGTTCATTATCCTGTTGGAAGTAGCCATCAGAGGATGGGGACATGGTGGACGTAAAGGGATGGACATGGTCAGAAACAATGCTCAGGTTGGCTGTGGCATTTAAACGATTCCCGATTGGCACTAAGGGGCCAAAAGCGTGCCAAGAAAACATCCCCCACACCATTACACCACCACCACCAGCCTGCACAGTGGTAACAAGGCATGATGGATTCATGTTCTCATTCTGTTTACACCAAATTCTGACTCTACCATCTG